TGTGTGTGTGTGTGTGTGTGTATTACGAGATATTTCACATCAATATATGCCAGAATAAAACATAAAATAACTAGAAAGTTATTGATTTATCTCAATATTTTTATATGAAAAATAATTAAAGAAATTATATAAAAAAAAGCATACATTCCATTTACAAAAATAACCATGATCATATAATAATAAAAAATTGTTTTTTTTTTTTTTCGAAAATTTATTCTATCATTCGTGCCCCGTTAAACTATATAACTTTTGTTTGAACATATTTTTTATTTGACTTCAAAGAGATAAATAGAGTGATTACATTAAAAACATTCTGTATACATAAAAAATTATAAAACAAAATATTTTATTCGTATTATTTGCCATTTAAATACGTATTATTTATCACTAAAGTACAATAATTAATCCAACTTGTATTTGAGTTAATTCATTCAATATTAATTAAGTACATGAAATTGTAAGAGACTATTATTAGCAATAGTTAATAGAATTATACATGCCAATTTATTGAATAATTCAATGAATTATATTATCAACCGAATAATATGTAGGTAATATTAACTATGGACTTATGCCGTAATAAACTCAACATGTAAAAATATACAATTTTTCATTATAAATCTTTGTTACTAGAATAAGAGAGATTTCTAATTAATATGCTAACTAGGGTTATCAATTATTTTAAAGAAGCAATTTACGAAGAAACTTTAGCAATTGTTTATTGTAAAATCGTGTTTCCTGAAATTTAATTTATGACATTTTCGAAATTAAATTTTAATTACATACAGTAGAGTAACTGGTAGTATAGCCAAGCTCCGTTCTAGAAATATACCTTTGTTTATGCATGCGTGCATAAACAGTGTGTGCGTATGTATTATGTGTGTGTGTGTTTTGTAAAATGATTGTGTAAAATTTGCAAAAATGCAAAGAGATTTTATTCTCTGGTTTCAAGAAATCTTTATCGACTTGTTTTTAATCGAATATTATTGCTAGGGTTAAAGGAAATTTCACAGACCAAAGAAAATTACCTAAAAAAACGCTCAGGAGTTGGATGCAGTGTAATCAGGGTCGTCATTGCAATCTACGACAATCTGCGTTCGAGATATATATATATGGTATATATATCGACAAAATCCTACTCTTAATATAATTTTAAATATTAAGTCGAACTATGGCTGTGCGTCCCATTTGGCGCAACACTTGTAAGATACCATGCTTGTGAGCATCGTTTGTCCTCGTTTAATGATTGATAAACAAGGATGAAATAATTTCAAAAGTGTGAGCAAGCTGAAACAATTGAAAAGCATAAACGATAGGAACAGAAATAATAGATTTCAACGTGTATCAACCGTGTATTTTGGTACACACAATTTTGAATGGGTTGAAATCTGTCCTCTCCAACATATAGAGAGAAAAGGAAGAAAGACGAAAACTGTTCAAGAACTTTAATTAAAAGGAACAAACCTAAAAAATTAAATCAGCAACGCAGCAAATGAAAAACCGGGTCTGCGTGCACTTCCTAGAACGCGGCCGATAGTGATCCAGCACCATCTATGAAGAATCGATCTCGGTTGTTCGATCGCAGTACTACAATCCGGCACTTGGCGCGTTATAATCGATGACGTAATGATCATCGATGATGGCGCCGATGGGCAGCGCTCGGCTCGGCGGTGGCGTCTCGTCCAGTCTCATCGTTCCCGCGCATTGTTAAGATCGCTTTGTTGATTCGAAACGGCATACGTTCAGAGTATCTTAAAAAGCACTTATGAGAGTCCTCGAAAAGTATTCAAGAAATGTACATTTAAGTATGGAGTAAAGTAATGCGAGAGTTTGTGCGTTGTTCTACGAGAGTACCGATCGAGTTTTGTAAGTCAAACAATGGCAAGTCGAAAACGGTGGAGTGATATCAATCGGATCTGCGAGGTGATACACAGTTTGCAGAAATCCCTGGAATGCACGATTTGGTGAGTCCGCGTATTCGCGATGTCGCGAACGATCTATCGGTTTGATATCCTTGTGGAACGCGATCAACTTGTTATTTCCGTGCTGTCCCGTGTGTAATGACTGGGACAGGTATAGGTTAGGATCCGTGCAGTGCAACAAGTGTCCAATACTTCCCAGTAATCATGAATCACATCAAAGCAGTTGACGATTTTCGCAGGCTCCGCATAGAAAGACATAAGTCTTCATTGATTTAATCAGTTTTCATTGATTTAACATTATTTGAATTAAAGATTATTATATTAACTCAGAGTACTTTAATTAAGTATCAAACTTGCTTATATATTTTTATCTAGAGAAATGTATAGACAAAGAGGTATGTTTCAAATCTAAGATTATAATATTTGAACAATATTAAGTCTGTGACTTTATTGTGACTGAACTAGTGTACATTAAAATAAAATAGATACATAATACATTTGACAAAAGCAAGATAATTTTAATACAGTTCTGTGTAACAACAAAAAACAGGCTTATATTATTAATGAATCCCAGCAAAGCAATTTACTGATTCTATATAGGAGACTTTATATTAATTAAATTAAGTACTTCAATTAAGTATTAAGCTTGCTTATAGATTTTTGATACTTTAAATAAATCAGAGAAATATATAGACAAAGAAATATGTTTCATATAGGATTATAATACTATTTAAATAATGAGATGTAATGCCATTCGAGTCATCACTGGAAATTATCACTGGAATTCCAGTGATGACTCGAATGGCATTACACCTCATATTTTAGATTTAATCAAACGAGTCGTTCTAACACATTATTTATATTTAAATAATATTATGTCTGTAACTTCTTCATTGTGACTAAACTACTTGTCTTCATACATTAGTAAAATAAAAGTATATTTGAAGTGTGGAGAAAATAAGATAAATATGTTTAATGCAATCCAGTGCAGCGATAAAGAACAGGTTTATATTATAAGTCACAGTGAAGCAATTGACAAATTCAGTGTTCCACATAAAAATTAATTATATTAATTAAACTCTGAGTACTTTAATTACAAAAAAATATTTCAAACATAAGACTATAATATTGTTAAACAATACATATGCAATTAAATACATCCCAAGTAGTCAATCAACTGTAAAGAAAAAAAAATAAAGATTTGATTAATATTTTTAGAAATTTTCAGTATTTTTTTTTATTATAAGTAGTCATTTCATGTTTCAGTTTGGAGCTCCTGACAGAACCTATCAAGACTCGATGTGGTCATTCATTCTGTAAGATTTGTATAGGAAATGTCTTACAGATGGAAAATGCTTCTTGTCCTCTGTGCAAGCAGAGTATTAATAGACGCAGCATTTCCAAGGATGATAATCAGCAAAAGTACATCCAGATGTTGAAAAATCTTGTCATTGCCATCCAGAACGATACTGACATCGATTATTCTCAATGTAAGCACATTGCAAATATTTCCATTTCCATGAATTGACCGAATCCAAATTAAAGCAACGTAGATCAATTTGCAATCTCTATCTGGATTATTATCAGTTTATCACAATCAGAGGATACGATTAAATTGTAAAAAAAAAAAAACAGATAAGGTATAATTCCTCCAGGAAACAATTCTTGCATTACTAGAACGCTACAATATTGAAAATCATTACTGCGGATAATAATTGTAATTTCCGCGCTAGCTATTGATCCGCGATCCGCTATTGTGTTATTCAACTGGGAACGGAAGTTAAAAGCACGGTGCAGTAGATGCCCTGCCGTAAAAGTACATTAAGTGAGGTCAGCACTACGTTTCTCGCCGCGTGCAGGATGGTGGAGGCCTGAAAAATTTAATTCTCGATACTCTTGGGTGCCTCGATTCATGCTATACGTTTTAGAGAAAGCTCAATGTTTTATGAGACCCTGGAGTTTGGGTATCACGTACCTTCCCGACGTTATTCAGTTCCCTTGCGTTGAATATTCGAAATGTCCTTACTATAGATTTCCTCTGGTCATATTTTTCATTTTTTATTATAACGTCACTTAATTCGTCATACATTAATGACATTTTGACGATTTATAAAGATACGTCCTATTAAAACGAAAAATAAATGAATCGTAAATAACCATGTAAAATCAAATTGTTTTTATTTTATTTTAAAAATTAAATACATGTCCAAATTTGTACGAGATTGAATACATCCAGACACATCGTGACTGTGTTTAATTTTATCACAACTTGATTATAAAATATATATATGTTTTGTAGGTATTTTTCTTTTATAGAATATATAGATAAAAGATTAAAATATTGTGTGTTTTTTATGGAAATTGCGCTTCCTTCTGAATGATAATTTATATCTTGCTATACGCGTTAATTCCACCGATGAGCTAGACATTAACATCATAATATGTTATATTATCTAAATTGCTGCATATTATAGTTTATTGTACAATAAATAATTGGATAAGATAATCGCGTACACTTAAGATATGTTAAGATTACTCACATAAGTTTCTATCACAATTTTTAAAATTCTATTTTCTCGGTATTTTTTAATTACGTTCATTACATTTATTAAAATGTTTTATATTTTAAAAATAAAAAATGAATAGTGGATGAAATAAAATTAATTTAAATTTATTGGTAATTATGCAGATTAAGGAACACCGCGCCGACGACCTTGACCTTGATAAACATATGTTGTCAAGATTGACCTTAAGTGACCACTATCCCATCTTCTTCCCTGCTTCAGGAATACACAACTTCCATAATTGTACTGTTGCAAATGGGTTTCGACTTTCCCCGTAAAACGCCCCTTCCCCCCCCCCCCCCTACTTCTGCTTCAGAGACACACGATTTCATACTGTACTGCTGCATGTTTCGACTTTGTACAATAGTACAATTATAGAAGTCATACGTGGAAAGTCGAAACCCACACGTGCAACAGTGCAATTATGGAAATGTATTTTAAAACAAGACTTTCCATGCGAAGCGATTTTCACCCCCCTGCCCCCGTCAATATCAGTGAAAATTTAAGTATTAGTATAAGTAAATAGAAGTATATACTCAACAATTCAAAGTTGAGGTCATCAGAGTTTATTCTTTAACGGAAAAATGTATCACATATTAGACTTTTATAAGTCTAAATATCTCAGAAACTATAAGAGACCGCCACCTAGTTGTTAAGGCAAAGTTACTCAGAGCCATGACCTTGACAACATATGTCAAGGTCAAAATCACCGGCGCGGTGTCTCTTAATCTGCATTAATTATCAACCTATTACGTCAGTTTTTTTAATTATATAATATGTAATTATGTTTTGAATGAATATATTAATTAAGGCTCCTAAGTAGTCGCACGGTGACCATGTTGGAATTATGATAAGCGAGAATGACACGTTCATTTTTAAACCATACTTTTCTTCCTTGATAGTCAATGAATAGTCGTAAAAGGCATGTAAAGTGAACCTATATTCGGCAGGAAATATACGGTTTGACAGCTGTCAAAATAATGTGAATACAAAGCGTATTCACTCGCTTTTACTTACCAAATTCCAAAATAAGTGTAGTGTCTGCACATTTTTAGAACTCATAAGTACGAGATAAGTCACATTTTCATAATTAAGCATATAATATGGAAATGGCACGCATCATAAACTTTCGTTATCAAAACATCACTTTTCATCCCTATTAGTTTGCCCCTTTATCGTGACGAGGTGTTATATAACATACAACACACACAAGCACGAGCCCATGCCCGTGTGCTTGCTTTCGGCTCGAAAATGAGCATACGAACATGGGTTTGTACTTGTGTGTGTGACTACTAATTTTGCCAGGCCGCCGACTAATTCAGTGTCGCCACAATCAACGCGAAGTTCTTGGCTATGTACTGAGGAGCCTTAATGTGGAATTTAAATAATCGTATTCAATAATAATTGAATATTATATCAGTAAGCTATAATAAATGTGATAGTAGCCAAATTTTACTTAGTCATATTATTAAATGTAAAAATATAAAAATTTCTTCAACATCAACAAATAAACCGGAACAGTTTCGTCGATATTCATAGAAAAGCGTCGGTAATATCTGTTACAGTACTATCGTACTCGAAGAAGTCCTACAATACGAAGGAAAGCTGCTCTTATTCGGATTCTAAAGAGTCTAGCAAAAATTCTACCAAAGAAAAATCTAAGGAAAAGAAGTCTAGTTGTCAATCGAATCAAAATACAAACATGCAAATCGACAAACCGTCAACAAGCCGTGAAACAATGATTGATCGTGGTAATTCGCGACGCGATTTAAACGTGTCAAACAAGAAGCCTGAAACTTCACTGAACCCCTACTCTGGCAACGATGAAACCCGCATCACACCGGATGTCAAAATTCGAACGTGGCTACATCATTTGCCTGATAACCTAAGTGCCAATGAACTGAATATTGATGATTCGAGTGTGGGAAAGCAAATATCATCGATTGAAGATGAAGCTAGGTCAATCTCAATATCTGATAACAATGGAAAATCTGACAAGATCGTTAAAAAGGACTGCAATAGGATTAACGCAAAGCGCCAGTCAAATCGAAATAGAAAACAAAGTACAGATTGCTCACAGAATATCGACGAAGACAACGCGTTGTCCCAAGTGAATAAAGGGGCGAGCCAAATTGACAAAGTAATAGAGCTCGATTCCACTTCGAGCAAATTGAAATACAAGACGCTTCACGATAAAATACACGCGAAGGAAAATCGTGAGAAAAATGCGAAGACGACTATCGAGACTGACCATCAAAATAGTTCGTCGTATTGGACGGCGCACGATTCAAGAGCGGCATCTACGCCTTTGTGTCTGGATACGAGGAGCACATCTGCAACTAGCGAATGCTCCACCACAAACTGGTTCCCTGTGATCGAGTTTCAGAAAGAGATGAAACGCGCGAACAAGAAAAAGGTAAAGAAACTGAACGTGAGCATCGAGAAAAATAAGAATCTACCCCGGATAATCGAGGACATTGTACTATCACCGAGTAGCAAATACGATTCGATTAGAGTTGCAGTAGATCATAAAAAAAGCGAAAAAGAGACGAACATATTGCCGGAGTCGAGCGGTCGGAAACAGGGTACGATCGATAAGAATTTATCAAACGTAAAAGTGAAAGCGTTAAATGACACGAACAATCAGATGGAATTAGTTGACAAGGATGAGGCCAACACAACGTATGTTACATTGGAGGAAGGCAGACAAACAATAAACCTAAATATCGATAAAATAAACGAAATTATCAGCCTTGATAACGCCACGGAAGCTCGAGATCACAAGAAAAATGTCGCTGATTATAGTGATTCATCACTGTCGCAGCAAAAAAGATTAACCGTCACGCTAGAGAAATTAAACGAATCTGTATCGCAAACTTTTACCAACAACTCTGAAACTTCGTCCTACTTGTCGGCCGAAAAACGAACTCTCAAGTCTCGAGAGAACAGTAATGTTCAGGAGACATTGAGTGGAGCTGCATCTTTTCAATTACAATCTTCAACACCAATCAAGGGTAGGTTATCTTTGAAAAAAAAGAAAATTGTTAATGAGAAGTCGCCGCTTTTAAGCGAACTTCCGCTGTCATTGAGATGTTCGATTAACGAAGATAATGTCGATGACCGCAAGAACGTTAATTCGTCAGTACCAAAGCATGACAACAAGCTGTTGGATCGATTGAAAGTTGTGAGTGGTGACTTGAACTTCAAAATCCGCGAAATTCAACAACGTACCCACTCGGATACGATATCTGCCAGTACTTCAAAAGACATAATTGAAGTCGAAGATAACAATGAAAACGTTTGCAAAATTGTTCATCAAGACAAAAAGCTCAGGCACAATGTTACTGCGGTATCGAAAAAGTATCTCTCGACAAAGTCAAAAAATATCGAGAATCAAGGACATCGATTTCTCGCAAAATTTATACAATTGGGTCCGTTAAATATTAGGCGGCAAAACGTCAAATATTTTTACGTAGCCGCGACCAAACGCGAACAGTTGATGCCAGCAGAAGTTCGAGTTACGTCAGTGTGCAATATACAAATCAGCAGGTCCGGCGAAATGTATGTAACATCTCCTGATCCGTTGAATGATTCGCAAATTATGTCAGATAACATCACCGTGGTAGAGAATACTTGTTTCGCAAATAATTTAAATTCGAATGAAACAGTTTCGAAAGAATTTCCCGCGTCACCGATTTGTATATCTTCAGCGATTTCGACGCCAAAAAAAAATATTGATTCTCATTTAAATCAAACGAAGAACGCAGCGATTGAACACCTTTTGTTAAACGCAAATCAACAATCGGATAAATCAATCGAGAACGTCGTTGAGAAAAACGCGCAATTTATCGACAAGAACTCGTTTCACAGAACGATCTCGCGTATTCCTCTAAAAAAATCTATTAAACTGCTATCACCGGATAAAGATTCGCAGTTGAAGTTTCTCACGATAGACTCTCCAACGACCGAACGCGAGAAGTTGCGACATACGAGTTCGATTAAGTCCGTAATCAAAGGAAACAACTTTTCTGAAACGAAAAATTTACACCTCGAAATGTCTACGATCGACAAGGCGCAGGAACTTTTCATCGAAAACTCCTGTAAGAAGAGGAAAAGAACGAGATATGCTAGTGACAGAGAGCTGTTTGAGGACGAATCCAACGATAGAAACGATTTCTGTAATTCAGACAGTGACAGCAGTCGAAGTACGATAAAACTTGACAAATACAACGAGTTATGTAAGAAAGCAAGCTTGGATCGTTTGGACGAACATAAAAAACGTCGTTTGAGTTCCTCGGACGATGAGGATGTCGTGATGATCTCGTCGGTTTCTACAAAACAAGATATGCCCAAAAGAAAATTCAATGTGTCTAGCTCGGACGTAGACACAGATTCGGAATCGGAATCGACGACACATGTTGCGAAAAATTTGAAAAGGTATATTAATAAAAATTTATATAATTATTTTATTATACATATGATTTTTACATAAATCTCAATATATTTTGTCGATCTCTTATATTTTTGCTTTCAAATTTTTTTCTTTTTATTTTTTTATTGTCGATTTTACTTTTATCTTCATAGTTTCTAGTTTAAATTTATTTATAACTGTAGAAATCTATAATTATTATTATTGATCACAATTTTTTATCATTGATTGTTGATTGACATAATTAACGAATATTGTTTTTCCTAAAAGTTTTTCAACGTATCTTCTTCCTTCCTTTTCTTCTTTCTAACGTTGCAACTACTTTCAACGATTATTATTACGCTCTGCTATTACCGTTACTTCTTAGAAAGTAATGCAACAAAGGGAAAGAGATAGTAGTATACTTCGCATTTAATCTTAGAAAAGTACTCTTGTCAGGAACATAGTTTTCTTATTTACACCGTTATGATTCTTTTTCTTTTCAAAAATACAGCGACAATCAACGCGCTCAAAGGGATGCATCGATTACGGATTTGCCTACGAAACAATGTTCGACTAAGCAAAATTCGGAAGATCTTAGTGTGCGGAATATAATCGACAAATCGAGCAACGACCACAATACAATGCAAACAAAGTTGATGAAAGAAAGTAAAAACAGTCAGAATAGTCTCAAATCAATAAAGAGCCGATCCGGAGAAAACCCGGCAAGCCATCAATCGCCTCGCTCAAATAATGCACTCAACATGGAGAAGAAGTCAACAAGCCAGAAAAGTTCCGCGAGAGAGTCGAATTTGTTTGAGAGCAGTAGTTTCTTTAATTCGGAAAATGTTGATTATATATTACAGTCATCAATAAACGCGAACGATACATCAAAGAAGATCGCGGATTTTTCTAACGATGACATCATAAACAGAGTACTGCGGATCGATCGGTCGCAGAGTAACACCGTTAGACGGCCAGATTCTACTCCACGAAACGACATCACGAGCCAAAGAGAAAAAGACATCAGAGAAAAGGACAATTTCGTTGAGATCATCGTCAACGTCGAACAGCCACAAAGCGAAGATTTCATACCTTGTTCTGAACAGCCAGATCACCCGAAACAGAAAACGTCAAACTGTCTCGCAATGACAGATGAATCGTGTGGCGTTATACAGGAAACTCCGATCATGTCTCCATCATCGACAAACGACATGTTCGAGCAGCATTCTTCTGGAAACGTTAAGAAACTACTTGGAAAGAAAGCCGTTGCAAAATTTCAAGAAACATTCACGGATTGGATTACAAAATATTCTGACGAAGAGAACGTTGTCTATAATCAGAAAAGTCGTGGTTACGTGGATGACCGACGAGACAGAAAAGATTCAATGACAAACGTCGATGCGTTTGACAAGGACTCCCGTAAGATCGTATCGAAGCATAATGTATCGCGAGAGAAAGAAGAGTTCCTTGAAGAACGTAATGTTTCAATACAATCGCCGGGTCGGCTTGACGTCAATAACGATAAAATAAACGGAGCAACAGTTGCTGACAATGAATCAATTTTAGGAGATGAAACTTTCAATGATTCGCTTATGAATATTACGGAACATCAAGCTCGATTACAAATGTTTGAAAAGGATCTATTCGGTATTGCGTCTCAAAATCAAACAAAAGCGACAAAAACGAATTCGCAGAATGATCCACAAAGGGAACAACGCACTCCAAAAAAGAGAAAGCAAACTACTCGGAAAAGAAATGCGGAATCAGAGGTAAGTGTTTACAATGTTACACGATAATATTTCTATATTTATCTATGTCTTGTATTAATAAAGTTATATTTATATTATTTTGCACTGCAATCTTGAAATTCCGAGAATTAATGTTCCTCTAACACACACATACAATATATATATCGATTAATTACAAAGAAAACTTATTATTTTAACGAATTTCATTTATATCTACAAGTGTAAAATTTGTCTAATATTATATATTCGTATAATAATGAATCTCTGCTAACGCGAAAAAGGGAAACAGAAGGGAAATGCATCACAAGGTTTCCTTGGACTTCATGCAAATTTAAGGAAATATCAAAAAATATATATATATCTTATCCAAATAGTTATAATTCGCATAATGAACTTTTTTATTCAAGTTTAAAGTAAAAAATACGTTATTAAATATATAGCAATGTAGCCATATTTATTTTAAATTTTACGTATACTTAAATAACGTCGCAATGGATTCTTACAACTTTTTTTTATAAGCGAGCACTTTACATCGATCTTGTGTAGCGTTTACAGTAGTTTACATAGAAATAGCAGCGAATGCACTATGGAGCAGACTTTCTATAAAAGTATATAATATATGTATACGTATGTATATGTATTGTATGGTATATATAAATCATGCTTCACAAGCTTGTATCACAAAGTGCATCATTTGTAAATTCATTTAATTTAGTCAGTAATTTATAATGGAATTGATACATTTTAACCCTTTAGCACAAAAGCTTTTCACTATACAATATAACGAGTATCACATAGCACTTTTAAACACAGGAATGCTTCGTCGACGAAGACGACGTTGTGGAAAATACTCCTGAGAAAAAGATGAAGACGTAAGTACTCATTTTAAGCTCTTCTCTCTTACAGTATACTTTTCGTGCTCGTTACACGCCTTTGCTAGTTAGATAATATGCATGTACGTAATCATAAATACGACAGTATATGTATATCATATATACTGTTTGCGTGACTCACAAAGAAATGGGGTGAGACTGTTCCTTTACTCTTGTAGGTCTGAATAGTGTATCAAGAACAGACAGGCAAAAAATTAAAAATAATAATAGAAATATACAGGGTATCTGACAATTAATGAAAAAAAAAAACTCTCGCATAGCGGCAGAATGGATGAAATTGAGTAGAAAAATCCTCTACCATTTTGCAAAAATTTTGCAATAGTTAACGAGATATTTATTTCTAAAAATCGTCGAATAAGCGTGTATTCGCCCGCTCGACCATCAACTATTGCGAAAATTGCAAAATGATAAAAAAAACTTTTCGACTTAGTTTAGTCTATTATACTTGCACACGAGCGATAATTAACGAGATGATATTGATTAAGAAAGATTTCCGAATGAGCGCATGTCAGCCTGTTTCATCGCAAAGATTGGAAAATTGTAGAGAACTTTTCTATTCAATTTAGTCCATTCTGCCACTATACGAAAGTTTTTTCATTAATTGTCAAGCACCTTCTATATATGTATATACTTATATGTATGTAATGCATAACGTGTGAAGATTTCGTGAAATGTGTGTATAATTTCTATTCGAAATTCTTTATGTACTCATTTCTACATATATGTTTTACGCTGATTAATTAATATATTTATTTCAAACAGTTCCGCCTGCATTAATTTATTTTACTGGTCTATTTGAATTTATTTTATCCAAAATATAAATAATTTTCTTACTAATATTTTATTAAAAAACTTTTCTCTGATATTTTATGACATCGTTTGTTAATATAGCATCTGTTTCTGTGAACATTATATATATTTTTAAAGCTTTTTAATTATATTAATTAAAACGATATGATCGTACAGCACACTTTAAACAAACTAATAGGTTTGCGATATGTAAAAATGAAATACTCCCGATTGTTTAAAAATCTGTTTACGATCGCTTAGAAAATCGGAGACCAATGCTTTCTAAATATTTCCTTGTTAATTCTGGACACACACGAAGTACATTGTCGTAATGTTGCAGTAGCGGAAACTCTATTGTGGCGAACGAGTCAGATGAAGATATGAAGCTATCGTTCTTAACCCCGCTTTTGAAGACTGCCAAATGGATTCCGAATACATCAAAACAACATGAAATAGTTGAACTGAGGAGTGGCGCGAGTACACCTAAAATGGACAAGAGAAATGAGCGTGTAAGAAACGATGATGACATTTATAAGCAGGTGAACACAAAAATGCTGAAGAACATCCGTTGGCAATGTGACAAGCGAGACCTGTGCTTCGTATGCAGTGGATTATCGGCGAATGAGATTAGCACAGTAAAAGAATTCGCGGCGAAACATAACGCGAGTTACGTGAACCAATTCGATCACAATGTGACACACGTTATCCTGAAAACTGTCGGTGAACTGAACATAGCGAAGAGCACGTTGAAGTATGTGCAGGGTATCGCCCACGGAAAGTGGCTAGTCAGCTATAGATGGATCGAGGATTGTAACATGCAGCAAAAGCTGCTGGATGAGGTTCCTTATGAGGCAACCACACAAACTGATCTTATATCTAGCGTCGCCGGACCTCGTAATTCGAGATTACGTGACAAGGATCTCTTTGAAGGCTTCACGTTTCTGTGCATCGAACCGTACGATAACGTTTCACAGAACCAATATGAGGTCAGTCCTTAGTCGACTACATGCGTGCGATCGTTAATGAGACAATATTGCATCCACGTTTCACTTCTAAAAACGTCGGGACACATTTATTTTTCTCGTAGACGCTATTAATTTCTGTTCGAAAACACGACAGAGTTTCTTCGACTTGCAATTAAAACAGATTCGTTGTACGTGTCGCTAGACTGGAAGGATTTTTATTTACGCTTCTACGCTTTCGGTTGCAGTCACGCCATTTAAAGTTGGATCCGGTCCAAAATTTCTGGTTCTCATGTAAGAATATCTTTGATTTTTAGGATTTGTTACGTGCAACCGGAGCCACAGTGGTTAATTCTTTCGACGCCCTCGCTAAGAAGGAAGGCCTAAAGGGTATTGTGATCCAAGACAATATACACGATGACGAAACGATCGGTAAGTAATCACAAATAAATACGACGTATACAAAATCCTTTCTTGCAGAAATATTTTATAAGATATCTAAACATGTATATATATTTTTTTTTATATTAATATTTTTAATTATTAATATTTATAAAAATTCTATGAAAAAATATTAAAGTATATTTGTATTTTGGTTTTCCTGATAGAATATTGGCATCGAATTACTAAAGCAGCGCCCATTATCGTGGATTGGATAGTAGAATGTATTAGCCAATACAAATTATTTAAAGTTACATCCTACAGCCCATGTCTTTCGTCGCAAGATTTTTGTGCCCTCGGCTATCCACGTGAACTCGTAGAAGAAGATGAGGGGTACAGTGATAACGAATAGAGGGAGAAAAAATATATGTATATTTATTTTCTGTTAATAATTTGTTCCAGTGTTCAATATTTTTAGTATTTTTCAATATTTTATTATTTTCGAAACAACTAAATAGTTACGATAGTATTCTCATATTTACTATATTACAAGCGTACATATGTTTGTAAATTTAATTATATCCGATCTCATTATATCCGATATCTATGATGTGATATTAACTATTATACATATACAATTTCATTTTTCCAATTTTGTATACAGTATATATAACTACATGTTACTGAATATATATAGTAAATTATTTATGTTTTTGTAATATTTTTTTTTGTAATAAATATTTTTTGTACGCTGAAATTCCTTGTTACTTTTGTACATTTCTCGTTCATTCATGATCAATGTCTCGTTTATTGTACCATCGCGAGTTCGCTGTCCGTTTTCCGAAAATTTCTCTACGTCTTGATCTTACGTAGCATTCCAATTTAACCTCGAGAGTTCTCCAAGACCGCGGTAAATGCCGGTCGCGAAATGCCATCTCGAGATACCTGACGCGCTTTCTCGCCAACGGAAGAAAGAAAAAAGAAGAGAACATGAAATCCACATGGACGTGATGACAAAGGACAAGTTTTTCCACGATACGACAATGCTATGCCGTCGTCGCTCAGATCGTAAAGTTCGCTTGCGTGAAGGAACACCGAGAGTATTCATATATTCACCTAAACACACACACCCATATTGATTTGCCCGGGACCACCTGTAGCCAACTCTCATCCGTTCGCGTACCGCATAGCCGTTTATGAATCCCGCCCAATTGTACGCAGACGAGAGCAAACGAGCGCTACGCATTCTGTATTCTCAACTTCAATATTAATATCGCGGCTGTAAAAGCACGCGTATTTCCTCTTAAACGTTCCGCACTGTTACTACGTAATCGATTGTATCCGCTCCGAATAATACCTCCGATGTGCGTCGCAAATTGATGAAAATATATTCGATGTTTAGTATCAATAGTCAATGACGTTGGCTCGCGAATCATATTGGCGGAATCTACGTTTAACAATGGCATTCGTGCATCGCGACAGCACGCTTTGTATGAACCGCGATGAATTTTGATTCGGAGAAAGTTACTTGGGATTTACCCTTCTCCTTTTGCTGTATAGGAAGATTCGATTATGCCTCTTCCCTTATACCGCATAGCCACGTAGCCACGAGACTCCTGAAGTTCACCATTGTGCACAGACTCTACTATACCCGTGTTTGCGAATGGCTCTCAATTGAACGGAGTATTGAAGGATTCCATTGTATTTTCACGCGACACAACTTTCCACGTGTACGTGCACGGCCATTTATGTCGTTCGCAGGTGGCAAACTAGTAGAACATTATCGCTTTTAAACGGTCCTTCGTTAAATTGAAATTACGATGTGCTGAGAAAAATATTAGCTTTTTTCCTAGACGCTACAACGAGAAAAATACAAGCTTCTTTATAAATATAAAAAATTACGAAAAAAATATGAGCTCCTCCATCACACCTACGGTAGAGGCAGATCTTCTTGATCTTAGAGGATGTTGCTGTTTCTGCGTTGAGACTTAATTTAATAGCAACTATCGTAACTTTCTATACTGCTTATATATGATAAAGAGAAAACATCTCAAAGAACATACCAAGTTAAGAAAAAGTCAAAATGATGATTTTTATTATAAAATTTAATTGTGACGTTAAGAATCAAAATAAAGTCGTTTCGATTTTTTATCAACTTTTGTGTGTTCTTTGGAGAGTTTCTGTCATGGACGATAGGAGATTAATAAATAAATCAGTCCGCTCGTCTATACTTATACTAGAGCCCCAATCTAGCGATCAAGCGCGTGCTAATTACACGGGGTCATTAATCACACTCGCGAGTCATAATAACGCTCATCAGATATGCTGACTCCATTGCACGTTACCGGATCTTCGTGTACAATGTACACGAATGTATCTCCTGTAACAGTAACGTTGACGCGTACGGTATGTTATTGCGGTTTGTTACGTAAAGCGTAGGCAATAGTTACGCAATAGTTACGCAATAGCCGCGCGTTTTATGAGTCTCCGCTTAATTACTCCAAATCGCAACAAAGTTCCATGCTGTCTCTACAATTGTCGAAGCATTACATTCGGACGCTACGTTAATTGTATTGCAAATTCATCTAAACGCATCTAATCCATCAATCCATGTGAAACGCGCGTTCAACCATTAAATGTTCATTTTTGAACTCGGGCATCAGGAAGATCCCATCCGAAAGGGGTATGGAGATTTTTCTAAAGTTGTTTACTCAAAAATGAATATTTATACTTCTCAAATTTATGTATAAAAAATATAAAAAGAAGGATTTTAATCTTTGATATATCAATGTATATGTAAATGTTTAAATAGAAATTTTCGCACAATTTTTTCTTCAAAGTACAAATATACTTTTCAAATTTACATATAAAAATGTTGTAAAAATAGAGATTTTTATTTTTAATACATCTATACGTAAATAACAATATTCTCTTATTGCAAGAAGGAAATACGATTACGTAACTGTGTGACGTTAAAACACCCGTGTGAAGCTGGCCTCCCCAATATTAAAAAATCGATTTTTTTCTTCATGCATTCGTTTGCTCACGAATGCTCAGTTGGAATTTTCGTTTGCTCACCCTTAGTTCAAGAGATATAGAAAAATTATGTTTTGGAGGGCCAACTTCATACGGGTCGTTAAAACGGGCTAATGCACGTCCATATCGATGAATGATGGCGGGCCATCAGCGTTCCATTGACCAGTTATGCCTTTTGCGCTTTCGAGACAATACTATTCACTCCTTAATATCGCCAAATTGTCTGGTAAAATTACAATTTACGAAAAGTACAACAATAACTTTTTATTACTTCGATGAATTACGGTACAGATCGCTATTTCTTGAAGCAACTCGTCTTCAAGACAAAAGATCCAATCGTAAATGTGAGATTTTCTCTTCCCTCCTGCTCAATGTTTTTTATTTCTCTTTTGCCATAATAAGAAACACGTAAAAATGTTTGTAGGAAGTGAAATATACACCGTTCGCATTTCACGAGGCGATATAAACTATAGGATTTCAACAATAGGAATAAAAACGAGATTGCCAATGTTTCAATTTTTTTCATTTTTATTCAACTAGAAATTGAATGTATCAATATTTTGACATATATGTAATGCTATACCCTCTGAAGAGGATTCAAATCAAAGTACTTTTATTTTATTAATATACTTTAACACACGATTACTAATATCAGCATATATAGGTTTTTCTCGAATTTATCAACATTTCGAGTTTTTGTTCGATTCAATCGATTTGTTAAATCGAGTTTCAACTAATTGAAATTAATGTTTCTATCGTTTGTTGCAGTTTGGTAAACTAAAATTAATTGAATTCTTTCCAAATATCTCTGTAGAATTTCAGATGTGTCTTTATCTTTTTTAATTACGCAGTTTCCAGGAATACGCTGCAATTATAAGAAATAAAATAATTACTGTTTAACTAATGTATATATATATATATATATATGAAAAAATTTAATTATAAAAGTAGGTCTTTTTTCCTTCCATATGTTTTTATTTGCTTTGTTTTTTTGTTCAAATTTATCTACTTTTATTGTATAAAAGCACGTTTCAAAATTATTAATAATTTTAATTAAATTTACGGTATACGTTTTGAATTGATTTTGCGTATGCATTGGCCTGCAAATTGGGGAATATAAAATGTAATATATAAATCAAGTAATTATTCCCTTAAACATCCCTCATTTGTTTAGAGAATGAATATGTCCAAATAACATATAGCTAAAAATATTTGCATTAAAAAATATCCAATAAACAACCTGCTAAATACTTAATGAAATCAAAACGGATATTCATAACATGATAAAAATGGACATACTGAAACAGTTTTAAAAATTGTATAATATCAATTAATGATATCATATCTCGTTTAATTTTGCAAGAAAAAAAACTATCATTGTTCGACTGTTAACGTTTTCAGCCAAATATTTTACTTACTTTCAATGTCTATGACGCTTGATAATGTCGTCGTAACGTATTATCGTTTCGTGTATTATTGTTCGCGAAAACTTTCATATGGATGAAAGAATAAACCAGCGAAAAAATGCCGCCGATAAGCGATAAATAACGAATAGCTTGGTCCACCGCTAAGGCTACCATCTCGCGCGAGCAATTTCACGGAACATTGTGTATGTCCTGCGGACAATAACGGATCGCCGTGAGAATACGATGCAGCGCGAACCGATATCATTTATGAGCAATTTCATGAAAAACTGTTGCTCTTTATCTCCGGCCATCGTGCCGCTGTATGCAATCGACAGAATCGAACAACAGAGAAAAGGCGACCGTCCGTCTTTTCTCCATCACGTTTTCTTTAATTACAGTAATAACGCAAAACTCGAATGTCATCGCCACAATAGGCGGTAAAGATAAAAGCTTGAAAGCCAACGGCTATAGATTGCGAAGAATTTCCGAAGGATTCTGTGAAAGATTCCGTATATTCGTTCGTTTTAGTTTCCTCCTCATGTGTTCACGCTTATCTCGGCAGGAAATTACACATCCCGAGCAATTAACGTTTCGCGAATATTACAAAACGAGAGTTTAGCAGCACGAAGTAATGATATCTTAATGTAGAGATCATTTGGAAGAACCATGGTTTCATTTGGGAAAAAGCGCAATCCACTTAAATTACTATGTACAAAAGTTGTGCAACTAAGCTTAATAAAAGGTAAATACCGCTGTTTTTTTTTTTTAATTAATGTTGGCTTTTAGGTTGGTACTTTTTTAATTGACAATATTTTAATCCTTTCATTTTTATTAATGACTGAAAAAGCTTTATAATGGAAATAAGTTAAAACACGTTCTTAAATATGTCTAAAATTAAATACGGATCTTTAAATATCATCCAACTTTAAAATATATAATATGTTTCCGCTTTGATTAAAGTTATTGTATC